CCCGTTGCTCCATGGGAGGAAGATGAAGTGTCTGCCCCTGTAGAGGGCCGCTCTCCATCTCAGACCCTGCCCTACAGGGTCGCTCTTAGTCGAAGTCATCTCAGTGGCCTTGAGTTTTTTGAGTTTGAGAATTTAATGTGTATTATCTGTCCAGGGTTATCTTACCTTAATACTGACCTTTACTTATCACTTGTACATGCCCTGGCCTTACAAAATTCTCCGTGAATATTTATTTAACTTTTTAAAGAGCCAGACATAGAATCATTCTCTGTCATATGACCGAACTTGAAACCTGATAGGAATGTGATGGCTGGTGATTCAACTTAACATAATAGGCTGCTTGCTGACCTGATACAAGCTTGGGCTGGATGGCCACCATGCAGCAACATAAAAAAGAGCAGCTGGAGTCTGACATGAACTAATTTGGAGTCTGGTAGTATATGGGGTTGCTGATTTTGTCATTTTCGAAAGAACGGCTAGGATAAAGCTGTTGTTACATCCCCAGTTGAAAAAGGAACTCTTCTTTCAGAACGGAGGCGAGTTTGGCCTCACGCAGAGAACAGAAGCGAGAGCAGTACCGTCAGGTCAAGGCCCACGTTCAGAAGGAGGACGGTAGGGTGCAAGCTTATGGCTGGAGTCTGCCCCAGAAATACAAACAGGTAACACGTGACGACGGGCCTGACGTCCCTGAGGGCAGTGATTTTCTGGATCCCTGGGGCTCTGGTGAAATGCTTCTGAGGGGTCAGCAGGACAGGGCTGAGTGCATGAAACTTGAGGGGTCCTACGTTAGCCAGAACACGTGTCTTTGGTTTTTTCATTTGAAATTTTGATTTTTTTAAAATAGTATCTGTTCTCTAAAGGTTTTTAAAAAACATTAGTATGAAAAAAAACACAACAACATTAGTATATTAGTATGGAGCCTTTCAAATTGTTGACTTCACAAACTCAGAACTTTACTTGTCTGCTCTATATTCGTTACCCTTGAAAAGCCTCAGCCAGCACTTATGTGTGGGCGCACATGCGCACACACGAGCTTCTCTTCTGAGCTCTTATAGAGTCCTATTTACTCTTCTATGATAAATGTCACTTGGTTTTCCTGCTGATTTTGGAACAACAGTGGCAAAACCAACTTGGTTTCATGCAATAGGTACCTAGCAGCTGCCATTTGTACTGTGAGAAATTCGCTGTTGACCAGTAGACCTTTTTCTCCTTTCTCTCGCTGGTCCTGGTCAATAGGTAACCAATGGTCAAGGAGAAAATAAGATGAAAAATTTACCTGTGCCTGTGTATCTCAGACCCTTAGATGAAAAAGATACATCAATGAAGGTGAGTTAATTTTGAATTTAAAGGAGTGTATTTTCTAAACTCTGAATAGACTTTTCTTTTGACAAATTGAAATACTACTTCTATGGGGGGAGGTTATTGTTCGTTTTGTCGTTTTTGACATGGGATACTTTTAAAGATTAAAGACCGATATTTACAACCACAAGGGTCCCTGGTGGCACAGTGGCTGCTAGCCAGAAGGTGGTTCAGACCCACTAGCTGCTCCGCTGAACAGAGACAGCAGTCTGTCCCGTCAAGAGCTACAGGCTTGGGAACCCTAGTGGGCAGTTACTGTGAGTCAGTCTGCTTTGCAGTCCCAGATCCGGTTTCACCTGTCCACCGACAGTCACACTCAGAAGATAGGAGCAGGACTAGACATTCCTAGAGTGCATGTGACTGGCTACTTCATCTCTGTCCCAAAAGCTATGGTGTGCTGTTGGCGTCAACTTATCCGGCGGGAAGACCAGAGACGGTGGATCTGTCGTTGGAGCAAGTGTGTTTTACAAGGATGTCGCTGCCTTGGATACAGAAGGCAGCAAGCAGCGAAGCGCATCTCAGAGTAGTCTGGATAAGTTAGATCAGGAGCTTAAGGTGAGCACAGGCATCCCCTTCTTGCCTTCTTGTTTCTTCTCTGTCTTTGGTCTAAGACTTAATTGGGATTTTTGTGCCGTGGCTTCTCCTCTCCTTTTATTCAGTGTTATTGAGATCTAGTTGGCATACAGTAAAACGGGCACAGCCAAAGGGGTTTAGAGAAACGTACCCACCTGTGAGCGACCACCACCACCACCAAGATCTGGAACAGCCCCGCCCTTGATCTGCTTTCACTGCCGGTGTTTAGTCAGTGTTTGCATCTTTACCAAAGAATCTGAGCATAAATTGGAAATCGTAGTTCTTCTTCATCGTGTAATGACATGATCTTAAGAATATCTGTGCATATTTATGTTTTAAGCACTCGTTTTCCTTACTTTGCCACATCCACAGGATCAGCAGAAGGAATTCAAAAATCAAGAAGAATTATCCAGTCTAGTCTGGATCTGTACCAGCACTCATTCAGCTACAAAAGTTATCATTATTGATGCTATTCAGCCAGGCAACATCCTAGACAGCTTCACTGTGTGCAACTCGCACGTCCTGTGTATTGCAAGTGTGCCAGGTGAGTGAGCTGTGGCCTCTCCTTCCTGGCAGGGACCGGCAGAAGATCCGAGTTAGGCCCCTTGCTCTAGTGGAACTTAGGTTCTAGGTGGGGAAGACCAAAAATAAACTAGAGACAAACGACTAAGCAAGATGTCGGCAGGTGGTGAAACAGTATGAAGAAAATAAACCACTGGTCATATGATAAGGCGGGTGAGCGGCAGAGGACCAGGGTCTGTGTAGATTGATTTGTAGTGGAAGGCCTGGCCTCTCTCAGGCCTTTTAAAGTCCTGGCTGAAATATTATATGACATTAAAGCCTTTAAAAATCAAACAGGTCTATGTGTACATTGCAAATGCTTCATTTTTAAATGTCTAATTAATATCTTAAGTTGCTGTTGATACCTAGGGTCATTAATTTTTTACTGTAGTGCTTAAGACGATATGGGTATTACATGTTGCAAGGAGTTAGCTTGATAATTTTTAAATGGCTGCTTTTATGACTTCCTGCCAGATAGACTTACATTCATTGTCTTCAGCCTCCTTGTGTGGCTGTTAAGGACCTCGTACTGAGAGAGGGACTGTCCTCGCTCCCATTCTCGTGTTATTGTTGACTTCCCCTTGCATTAAGAGTATTAGTATCTTAATCTTTAAAACTGCTTCCCCATGAGGGTTCCCATAAATGAAACTTAATACCACCCCAGGGCAGCATGCTTTCACCTGCACACTTGCATTTCAAGCTATTTTTCAGAGTTGCTTTTATAGCAGAAATGCTCTTTATTCATAAGCGTTTATTTGTAGATTAAAGAAGATTTTTCCCTCTTTTTCAGGAGCACGAGAAACAGACTATCCTGCAGGTGAAGAGAGTTCAGAGTCCGGCCAGGTAGACAAAGCGTCTTTATGTGGAAGCATGACAAGCAATAGCTCAGCAGAGACCGACAGCCTGCTGGGAGGGGTCACGGTGGTTGGTTGTACCGCAGAAGGTGTGACAGGAGCCGCCACTTCACCTACTACCAACGGGGCTTCCCCAGTGATGGAGAAACCACCAGGTATATCGATTCTCCCCTCAGGCCTTTGGAAGAGAGGACGAGGCTTCCCCAGATGCCTCCTCTCTGAATTATTTTAGACCTTCTCTTAAGAATGAAAGACCTCAAGAGGAATTGTAAAGACTATCAAATAAAATCAAGAATTTCATGATACAAGGTGGAGGGGCAAGTGGCGTGGAATTCCATAGCCAGGGGGTTGTGTCGGGAGCTACTGGAGGAGCAAGGCGGAAGCGCAGAATAGTTAGCGTGTTTTATTTATTCTGTAGAAACGGAAGCAGAAAATAGTGAGGTTGATGAAAATGTTCCAACAGCAGAAGAAGCTACTGAAGCCACAGAAGGCAATGGAGGGCCAGCGGAAGATGCCGTGGACATCTCCCAAACGGGCGTGTACACGGAGCATGTCTTTACCGATCCTTTGGGAGTTCAAATCCCAGAAGACCTCTCCCCTGTGTATCAATCGAGGTATGCAAGTGGTCAAGGAAACCAGATGAAAGGGACCAGAGTCATCACAACGCAGAGAAAACCAATGCCCACCGTGGCTTTGTTGTGGCTGGTTTCATGAGACTGCCTCTTCCCAATACGTCTGCTTCTGCCCTGCGTCCTCTTCTGACCTCCCCACCCCCACCATCACCCCCCATTTTTCCTTTCCCGCTTCTAACCTAACGGCCCATTTCATCCTCGGGTATTCTTGCCCGCTTCCATTCTATAAATAACTGGGCCGTCTAAATCGCTGCCCCTGCTCTTCCTCCACGCTAGCGTTCAGTAACATTGGCCATCGCTTAAGTGCTCTGCATGGAGTCTGCCGACCTTTTAAATAGAGTTTTCATGCAGAGATTTGATTAGAAAACGACTCGCTTGGGCACTTCTTTTCAGGGGTGGGTGAATGTGGGCCTCTTCTCTGGGTCGTTTCCTTCTTCCCTGCCCATGGGAAGCAGTGGGGCCTCACCAAACCAGGCCCCGATGCCAGTTTAACTTTCTTCTTCCGAGTTGACGCACCTGTCAAAAGCTGGCTAACGTGTCATTGCTACTTTAGGAACACGGCAAACTTGGAATTTGTGGGCGGGTGTCTGTTTTGTGTCTCTGTGTGGTGTCTGTTTTATGGGCTGGTATCTGTTTTGAAATTGGAGATCACTTCTGTGTTTTCATCAAATGTGCATTTATACACATGTAGAATGAGGGCTTGGGAGGTGTATAAAACAATACACTCATTGTTTGTCATTTTAAAGCAAACCATTCTTCCCTCCTTTCTCTTCTCCCTAAAACATTCTCAGAAAACTCAAAGCAGTTCTCAGAGAGAGCCGTATGGTAGTCTGCGTAGGCACTCCTAGATCTGTCTCACGGCCACGCCTGTCTCCCTGCACTGTCCCTTGGCCTTTCCCGTCTGTCGAGACTGGCGCCTGTGGAGCTGGAACCTGATAGGACAGCCATGTTTGCTACCTTTGACAGGGTGCGTGCAGTCAGAGCACGTTCTCATCATTTGTTTTAGGGGAAAATGTTTTCGCTTTCTTCCACGGACTAGTTTTGCCTTACACAGGCTCTGGCTCTTACAGGTTTTCCTATATTTGGTAGAATTTAAGGGGAGCTTTCCTGAGATTAATTTTAGCGTTTAATTAATTTTTTAACTCTATTAAAATGTAGAAACGGCTGTTTCCTGAAAACTGTGATAATCATGCTCATGGTTTTTCCTTTGCTTCACTTTTCCTAGTAGTGACTCAGATGTGTATAAAGATCAAATATCAGTATTGCCCAATGAACAAGACCTGGTGAGAGAGGAAGCCCAGAAAATGAGCAGCCTTTTACCAACCATGTGGCTTGGGGCCCAGAATGGCTGGTAAGTGCCAACAGTTTAACATTAGGCTGTCTTTAGTCTTGGACATTGGCTTTTGAAATCTGAAGTCTCGGTAAGATGTCGTGTGTACAAAAACAAAGCAGAAGTATAGTTTAGTACAGACATGTTATATACCCGCAGAGTTTGAGACAGTGTTGCAACTATCTCATACACTGGTCTTATCTTGCTTCTGAGTGGTAAACCATGTGTTTCTTGGTCCCAGAATATTCCTTTTATGCAATATTCTTATAAGAGGAGGTAAAGAAAACTTCAAAATCTGGGTGATGTAGAAATAGAAGATCCTGAATAGCACAGAGAAAGAGAATTATTGATGCCAGGATTTATGTAGGCTAGAGTATGGGCAGTTAATTCCCAGAGTTAAGGGAACATAGATCACACATTGGGCTACAGGCAGGCCCAATCCGAAACATAACTTTTCGTAGAATTATTCAGAAAGACCAAACCCACAAACCATAGCGGTGGTCACCAAGTCAATTCTGATGATTGCCAGACACGGGAGAGCTGCCCTTTGGGTTTCCAAGGCTGTCATCTTGATGAAAGCAGACTGCTGCAGTTTGAACTTGAACTGTTGGCCCCACAGTGAGCAATTGAATGCTTTAACCTCTGCGTCACCAGGTTGCTCTAAAGTTAAGGGGATGAATTCCCATTAGGCACAAAAGGTGTTCACTCTATGGTAGTGTTGAGAGTCCGGTGCGTAAGGCCAACAGTGGGTCTTTTCCATTGGATACGTAAAAGGAGAGGATGGGTCAGGTAATAAACAGAGAGGCTTTGAGGCTTGGCCATCACGGCGCTATTGTCGGGTGCAGTGACCACTGACAGTGAGTTAGCGTAGCACCTGTGGACTCTGAAAAGTGGATTTCATATCAATCCTACATGCCATGTAATATACTCATTTTGATCTCCCCTCCCCTATTTATAAATGTAGAAATTATTCTTGACTTCTTGACCTGAAGGCTACTCACGATCTAAATAATTCTATCATGAAAAAGTTGTAGTTTAGCATAGTAGAGAGGTAAAGTAATTCAAAAAAGGTGTTTTAGCCACGAGCTCTAAAATGTGGGGCCACTGAACTGGGCTGGCCTTCATGACACCGGTTCTGGGTTTTCATCTCCGTCTGTTTCAGTTGCTTAAGCAACTTGCTCCTGTCCTTCAGGCCTAGCCTTGCACCCATTTCTGTCTTCTGTCTGTTGTGCACAAGCAGTAGCACCCTCTCCTCTGGTTCTTGTTTCCTCCTGAGTGCGCTACGAGCAGGCTGAGCTGGAGAGAAGCAGCCCCGAGGGCGCGGGCCGGCCTCACCGTCTGCCTTTGTTCTTGCAGTTTGTATGTCCACTCTTCAGTCGCCCACTGGAGAAAGTGTCTGCACTCCATCAAGCTGAAAGACTCCATTCTCAGTATTGTGTAAGTGTTAGGGTGGAAATTCTTGTTTTTTAAAATATATATTTGATATAAGCTCATTTTTAAGCTGATTGCTATCATGATGTTTTTAACCTTTTTTGGAACTAAAGAACATTGAAAAGGAAGCTCTATAAATAGAAAGAGAATATTTTAAGTCAGAGGGAATATTGCCAGATTAATTCCTCATCAGACTGAGTTCTAGGAGAAAACAAATCTCTTGCTTACCTTTGTTTTAGGATATTCATTATACTTTGTGAATTTGGGGCAGGGATCTACTCATCTTTTTCTCTACACTGACTGTCAAGAGTCAGTTTGCCACAAAGTGCACAGACGCATTACACATCGAGGTGTGTATCTGCCCCTGCCTGTGGGCTTTGTGTCACTAGCCAGCACACGGGAGGAAGAGCTTAGGCCGGAATGTAAGACAACTGGTCACTCATTTCCCCAAACTGAGCTCCCTGCCACGGAGTCCATTCTGACTCAGGGAGCCCTCTACGAGAGTAGAAATCTAGCCTCGTCCTTCTCTGGACGTGAGCAGCCCAGTGGGGAGCGGAGCCCCTGGGCCACCAGGGCTTAGCTGACCGCGTTTCACGGCCAGGCTTCCTCAGTAGAGAGAGCCGTGTGTGCATGTGCCTCCTCAGCTGGGGTAGACGAGGCCCTCTGAGAGGCGGTAGTTCGTTCAGCTCCGCACCGTGGTCCCGTGTGTATGCTGAGTGGAGAGTGTTAAAGCCCCCTTTCCCTTTTTTGCAGGCATGTGAAAGGAATTGTGTTAGTGGCACTAGCTGATGGCACTCTTGCAATCTTTCACAGAGGTGTCGGTGAGTGGCTTTGGATAGCTACGTGCATTAATGTGTTCCTTTGAAAAAAGCATTTCAAGCAGATTGGCTTCTTATGTTTTGAAGAAATACTGATTAAGGAGAAAAAAGAAAGGTTTTGATTGAGTATTTGCAATGTGTGACGTTAGTCATTGGATGCCTGCTGGGAGACATGCAATAACCGTCCCAACTCAGTGGAAGTGTGTTTACTATAATAAGTACTTTCACATTTCATGCTGTTCTTACATAATGTGTCAGAGGCATTTATTTTTTCATTTGTATTTGATCAGGAGAAATTTGGTGAGGTTTTTTTTTTCTCTTGCTTTAAAAAATAACCTGCATACCTACTTCCATGAGGAAAAGAATTAAAACAATGTTTAATTAGGTAGCCTAATGATTTGCCTGTAGCCCTCCCTCCTGTGTTCTGTTCCTCTAAAGCCAGTGTTTGCCATCTACAGACAAAGGAGTGGTTGTGTCAGAAAACAGGCCTTGACAGAATTAAGACAACGTAGCGTGTTACTTCATAAGTCTTTGGGACATGTGTCAGCCAAAGTCAAGTAGACTAGGGAAATCTTATGAAAATGTAGACCTGCTGGATTTTAGCAAGGTTTTTCTAGTCTCATATTATCTAGGCTTGGAGAAATGTAGGTAGAGCTACTTAGATGCCTTCCATGGTTCAGAGAACTTTCCTGGTTGGTAGCCCTGTATCATCAACGCCGCCCGAGGCCACTCACAGGCGATCTGTGCGAAACTCTCACAGCAGTGTGAGGAACTGAAGGCACGGAGCTTCTCTTGTTCGTGGTCACCCGGCTAGGACGTGGGGAAGCCTCGGTAAAGCAGAATTATAAACCATATTGGCAGAGTCCATGGTGCATTGAAGCAGGGCAGGTGTAAAACCCTGGGCTTGGGGGGAGAAGAGCAAGGAGGGGGAGACAAGTCAAAAAGAGTGAGGATTACCTGAAGATTGACTGCCATCTCCATGGGCATCCGTGAGCCTTGTTAGCCGCGTAAAAATACATGGCGACAATCCTGCTGTATTCTGCTGGATAGACAACTTATTAAATGGACATTGACAAAGTGGATTAGAATGAAAGGTGTTTTGTCCAAGATGCGTGCCAAGGTTGCTTGGTTTGTAAAAGAGAAGCCATGGGACTGGGAGGAGGAAGTGGAGTTAGATTTACTGTGTGTTTGTGTTGGGCAAAACTAGACCCCGAGAGCGATTACACATGGAAGGACGAGTGAGCCTCGTTTTGGAGCCTGCGTTCTAGACAGTTACAGCTCTTCAGACAGGGAGCAGTGGCTCTCACTGAAACGGGACCGACCAAACTCACAAAGCAAAGCCAGCCTCTGATGGCTTTTCATGCCGCTTTTCATTGGTTTTTCTTGTGTCACTAAAAATATAGTCTATGCAATTCCTAAAGTGTTAACAGTGAGTTCCCTCAGCTGTTACCCAAGCAATTATGCAAGAATGTAAATGAATGAGAGCAATTATCTCAAAACTAACCTCAAATCCAATCTGATTCTAAAATTGCTAATGTCTATCGATCACGTCATATCATAGAGTTGAGTGCCAATTTTAAAGGTGAAGGCCAGGTGCTAGGTGAGAGTTGAGTCCCACAGCCTTTGAGGTTCGGATCAGATGACTGACCACTGCACCTTAGGGAATAAGAATCCAGTTTTGCAAATCAATGAAATACTTAATACATGGCTTTGGGGTAGGGTGCTGTCTCAATAAACATACTCAAATAGAATGTTTCTTGTGTCATGCTTGTATAAGGTTATTGTATGTACTAACTCATAACTTCTCATTTCAAAGACGGCCAGTGGGATTTGTCAAACTACCACCTCTTAGACCTTGGGCGGCCTCACCATTCCATCCGTTGCATGACGGTGGTGCATGACAAAGTCTGGTGTGGCTATCGGAATAAAATCTATGTGGTCCAGCCAAAGGCCATGAAAATAGAGGCAAGTAAACTCACCTTTTGTCTTGAACCTCTTTAGAGAGGGTTTCTGGATCCGGCTTGTTTCAGAACCACTTCATCACATCACTTCTTACCTTCACCTCTCTCCCCACTTTGGACCATGAGGGCAAGGAAGTGAGTGGTTCTTTGTTTTAAAGGGGAAGGAGGATGTGTGTGTGAATCCAACTGCGTGTCTATGTACATAGAAGCCTACCGGCGTTCTTTGCCCGATTCTTGATATGTCAGTTGGTGAGGAGGAGGATTTCCAAGTCACCCTCACACCTGGTGTACCCCGGCAAGTCCGTGTGTGTGTCAGCATGGCAGCGGGGATTTGTTGTGAAAACAAGAGCCTCTCAGCTTTGCTTTCTTCCAAATCTTTTGGCCGCAACTTCGAGCATGAATTTTTCTTTTTAAAAGTAACAACAAACTCACAGCAGGAAATCCTTAAGGGGAAAGTGGTCATGTGTGCCCTCCGCTCCCCCCCCCCATCCCATTTCTGTCCAAAGCGTTGCTTATTTTTCAGCTCTGTTTTTTCTTCTCATGTATACACGCACAGACAGACAGACAGACAGACAGGGAGAGAGAGAGGAAGTGCACACAGGTAGACAGCCGGGGTCGGGAGCGCAGTGTAGGCTCCTTTTGGAGTAGTGAGACATGGGCTCAGTCCCTGACTTGCTCTGGAACAACACAGGACCCTGCATTCCAGCGCCATCCCCCGCTGCCAACATGGCCACCTAGAACGGATGGGCCAGTGCTGCCTTCCTAAGTTCACTTCCGGGCAGTGCTGAAGTCCAGCGTCCTTTGGTCCTTGGGTTTTTTCATTCTAGGATGAAAGCAATTATGTACCTAAGAGTAAGCATATTTAGGAAACAATGTGCTTTCCCCCACTAATACATGGTCTGCTAAATGTTATGCAAATGAGCCTAGTTTCTAAGCACACACTGTTATGTAACAAGTGTAACTTTGTGATTAAATCATCTTTCCTAGAAATCATTTGATGCCCACCCCAGGAAGGAGAGCCAAGTGCGGCAGCTTGCATGGGTGGGTGATGGCGTGTGGGTCTCTATCCGGTTGGATTCCACACTCCGTCTCTATCATGCACACACTTATCAACACCTACAGGATGTGGACATTGAGCCTTATGTAAGCAAAATGTTAGGTAAGCTTCCAAAGTGCTTTCTCTTTCTTTGTCAGTCCCAGGGGAGGCTTTGTTTTTCGGTGGTCGACACTGGCTGGGAAGATCAGGGGAGCGGGCTCACGTTGCAGGGTTCAGGCAGGTGCACAGCCGTCCTGTGATCCTTGACAGGAACCTGGGTCCTTTTTCCCTCCTTATGTAGTCCAGGAACTGTCAACTCCACCTCGGAACACACCTCAAATCATCTCCACTGCTGTCGTCATCCTAGGCCTGCACCTCCTCCTCGCCCTTGGCTCACCATGGATGCCCCTGGGCCACTGCTCCCCGTTTCCTCTCCAGCCATTCTCTGCATAGTGTGCCAGTACTCAGATCTCCTGGGCGCTCTGATTCCCACCCCAGGGGAGGGTCACACTTTGTCACTTGACCAGAAGACCAGCCACTCTCTCCTCACTCACATTCTTTTACTCACACTCACACTGCCCTGCTCACCCCTCTCCCCCCCCCTCCAGGTTCCTTTGACCTCAGGGCCCTTTCATGTGCGGTGTGTACTCTGTCAGAGGGATGCTTCTTGGTCCCTTTTTACTTACCTGTCAGGTCACAGCCGACATGCCACATCCAGGAGACCTTGCCTGATCTCCCAGCATGATTCAGGATCTGTCGTACTTTTTCTTTATGGACTTAGCATTATTGAAGTTCCTGAGTATTCAGTGGTGCTTATTTATGCCCCCCTCCCCCCCACGACCTGATGGCCCACGATAGACAGGGAGCTCCTCTGTCTTGGGTCCGCTGTGCCTTCAGCCCTCATCCAGTGCCATCGACACTGGGGTTGTCCTCCCCAGTATAGGAGGCAGGGGCGGGGGTAGGGGTGGGTCCTTGCCCTCAGAGACCGGGATAATAGCTATGAAGCCTCTCCCAAGAAGCAGGCATGTATGTAACACAAGCACAAACTGACCACAGGTAAAGGTCTCTAATGAGACTGGCTCCTCACGCTGTGATCCTGTGATCCTGCCCTCAGTTCTCGTAAATAGAATGTGTCAGTAATTAATGCAAGTCATCTGAAAGACTCATGTCAGAAATAATGTGTTTAATCATTTTGCTTCTCAAATTCCAGAAAATAAGATCAGTTGTAAAACAAACCTAAAGTGAAAAAACAGAAGCCCATAATGGACAGTGTAGAACTAACTGCCCCGGGGGGTTCTGAGCCCGAGACTTCCTGGCAGTGGAGAGCCTCGCTTTCTCTCCCGGAGGGCTGGCAGCCCAATGCATAAGCCACGCTTCTGAAAACTAAGCATAGAAACAAGGGACTAATTGTTTTATCTATACAAGACATATAAGACAAGCTAGAACTTTCTCGGCATACAAACCAAAGGATACTTGATTTCCTAAACTAACAAACGTTTTTCTTTTTGGTGATGATGTTTTGGTTTGCTGTTTCAGCTCCCTAATTAAAATCCTGTGTTACATATGCTGACCAACTGTCCCTTGCTCCTGACTGAGAATACAATGCTAACCTCTTCTAGAATGTCCTCTTTCTATTGACCCTGAACTATCAGATAGATGATGGTTTAGCTAAGCCAGAGTTGGCCTGCTTGGATATGCATTTTCAGAAGACATCCAGCTCCCTCGGGTCACCTTCCCTTGCTGTTGTGTTAATTCTGCTACCCTGATGGACTTGGCTTCTGGACTATCATGTGCCCAGGTCTAAGGAAAATGTTCTGTCCCCCGCCCTGTTCAGGTACTGGAAAACTGGGCTTCTCGTTCGTGAGGATCACAGCTCTTATGGTGTCTTGCAACCGTTTGTGGGTGGGGACAGGAAATGGTGTCATCATCTCCATCCCGCTGACTGAAAGTAAGTGTTTCCGTTTGGGTACCATCTCCAACGAGTGCACACGGGCAACTCGTAGGGGCTCGCCGTGTCCCGGATTCAGATAGGGGAGTGGTTTATGCATCGGCAAATGGAGGGTGACTCAGAAAGCCAAGCTGATGGCAAAGAGGGAACTTTTGTTCCCTTATTCTTCCTATGAAATGTAAGGGGGGTCTTCAGAAAATTCTTGGAAACATGGAATTAAGACAGTGGACTTTTAAAAATTATTATTAAAAGATCATTTTATTGGGGGCTCTTAAAACTCTTATAACAACCCACACATCAATCGTATCAAGCATATTTGTACATATGTTACCATCATTATTTTGTAAACATTTACTTTATGTTGAGCCCTTAATATCAACTCCTCTTTTTTCCCTTCCCTCCCCCTGAGAATAGAATTTTACCAGGAACTTTTTGAAGCTCCTTTGTACAAATGCTCGAGAATAACACTGTCCATATGTTGGGACCAATATGCATAATGAAAACTTTTTCATTGTGAGAGAATCCTGTTTTCTCAATCACAGTTCTATCTCATTGAAATAAAGATCAAAGCCTATTTTTCTCTCGACTCTCTTGCTGAAATGTTAGGTAGTATCCAACATTCACCCGTGTTTTTTTGCACCTTCCCGCAGGCAGTTTACAGTATCTGTTTGACTTTACTGGAGGTTTAAAAATAGAATGAAATTGTGGGGGAAGATCTTCAGGAGGCCCACAAGCCTTCCTGGTGTTGGAGACAAGCCTTCGGTGACCTCTTTGGAAAGAATGTGATTTGCTGTTGTTGGGAACAAAATGCTCATATTACATGGATCATCCATAAAGAAGTGGTTTCTTTTGTTGCAAAATTCATGGACAGAGAATGGTTTGAGAACAAGTCCATAAAAATAACTTAATAGGCACACAACCCGTAATCTCCTACCCAGTTTTCAGGGGTCAAGGAAGAGACAGGGATCAAAAGACTTGTCATGAGGGAGCCTTTAAAGAACCCACGTTCTTAAAGCCAACTGCCTTTACTGCAATTATTTGTAAATCGTCGCATTCCCACAACTTCTTATATCTCCAGAGAGCCTGGGACCCCAGAATTCATTTCAGTGTTTCCTAAGAGCATGTTCCATTGCAGCGTAATTACTGTAATGGGAACTTTGTCAGGGAAAAAGAGGGGGATGTTAGCATTTAAGAAATATCTCCTATTCCTAGTGTTTTGCGTCAGATTCACCAAAATGGTTTTACAATGAAGAAAAGCAAAGTTATGGCGAGTCAGAGTGTCATTTTTCATCAGAGGTACTTGATAGAGGCTTTAGTCAGAACTTGATGTGGTGCTTGGTGTAATGCCAAGGGGGGGATGTTGTGAATTAAGTTGGGCGCTTTGAGCACCAGGTTGCCAGCTAGCAGGCTGAGAGTGGTGGCTCCTAGTGATTCTCCTCCCGGTCACGCCCCTCCATGTCCCCTTTCCTCCTCTCTCACTGTAGCCGTAATCCTCCACCAGGGACGTTTACTGGGGCTGAGGGGTAAGTGCAGATCCTGAACCAAACTCTCCTTCCTGCCTCCTAATGGCCACTGTGAGGCTGTTCCCACTTCTAGAAACCCTTCTTGAATGTCCCTAAATGTCATCCACTTGCAGTCACTGCATTGCAGCGATTTTTGTTTTTATTTCCATGTTTGTTACTTGGCCACCAACTGCTCAGCAGCTTAGTCTCTGTATTCTCTTTCGTTGCAGCTGAACTTTCCTTCAGACCTTTCCTTCCAGTAAAACATGAAGCATTTCTTACAACTGTCATTAATCTATATTGTTGACTCTTGTTACAGATCACGTTTCTTTCATTCACTTACTGGCCCATGGAATGGGGATGTTTTGTGAGTCTGGTCATTCTAAAGCAGCTCAGCACACCACCGGGCGGGTGTAGTCTATAAAACTACTAGTGGCTGGATTTCTTTCAGCACAACTTTTGCACTTGACCTGTTGCCGTCCAGCCGATTCCAACTCGAGTGGCTGTAAGGCAGAGCGGGTGCCCCGTGGGTGCTCAGAACAGACTGCCGCAGCTTTCTCCCTTGGAGGGGCTAGCACGTTGGAGCCTGCTGACCTGTACCCGCAGAGAGAAATCAGAGCTCAGAATCGACTCCCGGCAACTAGCAGCCGCATGAACAAGCACTCGGCTCCTTGAACTGCGGAGTTGGCCACTCTCCGGAGTGGGGGTTCACCGAGACGATGTGCAAAAATCTAACTGACGTGTTTAAAAAGCAAACTTTGTTCTTGCTAGACTGGCAAAATCCCCTACTCCATTTACCGAGGAACCTAAAATATAACTAGCATGCTATATCTCTCTTTTTTTCCAGCTTTGTCTTGAATTGGCATTGCTGCCCTTATTTTATTTTCCTCAACTGCCTGTAGCTTTTAGATAATACCATAAGGATTAACCAGTAACCTCTGACCATTGCTGTTTCTCGGGGAAAAACAGTTGCCATCTGGTTTTTCTGTTGCAGCGAACAAAAGCTCGGGAGCGCCAGGCAGCCGTCCTGGGAGCGTGATCCGCGTGTACGGCGACGAGAACAGCGACAAAGTGACGCCGGGGACGTTTATACCCTACTGCTCCATGGCGCACGCCCAGCTCTGCTTCCATGGGCACCGGGACGCTGTGAAGTTCTTTGTGGCAGTCCCAGGTGAGTTTGGGCTCTGCCCTCCCTGGTTCCCCTACACAGTTACCTAGTCTATGCCGAGTACAAGACCATCTTAGGAAGCAAGCCCTACGATGGAGGGATGACTAAGAGGCTAAAGGGAACCATGCCACTACTTCAAATGAGGGTCTTTGGGCTTCTCTTCTCCAGCCCTCGATGTTCTTTTAAGAGCCTACTGTACTTTTGGAAGCAGTGGGATTATTTTGTCACAGCAAGAAGAGATGGGAAATGTGCCCTGTCCTGAGGAAGTCGTTCGCCCCCGAGGTTCATTCCCCATTTCCTAAGGGGATGTAACCATCTGCGCTGTCCACGGCATTTGTTGTGGAAACAAACGAAAATGCTTGGGGACTAGAAATCGTCCAGATGCGAGGTGGTCCTGGTGAAAGCCGAGGGACGTGTTCTGTCCATGGAGAACACTAAATGACGCCACTGGCGCGTAAGCAGGACCCCTGTTTGCGGAGCACTTGGAAGGTTTCGGATCTGGCCTTGCACAGTGAAGGGCCTCCATTTCTCAGTGGTGTTCCAGAGATCCAGCGATCAGCGTACATCAGTGTAGCACAGGGGTTGCACCAGGGAGCCCGTCACCAATTTCCCAGTACCCATGGGCATGGGCGTCCTGAAACATTTCCCGTATGTCTATATAACTGTTACCTTAGGACAAATTTCCCACAGGTGGAATTCTGGTAGCTGTGTTGTGTTTGTTTTTTTCTTAAGGAAACTATAACTAGCACTTTTTGGTTAGGAACTTAATTTAAATGACCTGTGCAGCATATATAGTCTGGTTCTCATTTATTAAGTTCTTAACTTGTATGCTTCGATATATATCTGTAGTTCATTTATCTACCTGTGACATTCTAATGTCTGAATACTTGTCCTCCATGTTACTCATTCTTGATGGGGCTCTTTAGAGCCTCGTGCCATGCCACCCCCCAACCCCCACCCCCACACACATACACACACTATTAAAAGCAGTAGATGTAGGACTGCTACGCTAACCACAAGGTCAGAGATTCAAACCCACCAGCTGCTCTGCAGGAGGAAGATGAGACGCTCTGGTCTCGTACGCCCTCCATATGGTCGCTGTGAGTCAGAACCAACTTGATGGCAGTGGGTTTTGGTTTGTGACACGCAGTCTCGCAGTGGGCCGTCCTCATTCACAATAATAAGATTTTTTGTTCTGATGATGCCTGATACCTGATCC